TCTTTGCTTTCTCCACTCCTCCAGAAGGGACTGTAAGCAAGGTGGATTTACTTTTCTTTAAAAAAAAAAAAAAAAAGAAAGAAAGAAAGAAATTTCTGGCTGATGACTCAGAGAGCAGGGCCTGGCGAGGCTGGGGTGGGAGAGTGGGGGGAATCTGGGGGCTTTGTAGGGTGCAGCCGGCCCTCTTCTCTGCCCGAATCTGGGAGAAGGGAGACCTTGTCCTCACCCGTCAGCTTCCATGGAAGTCGAAGGAAAACCATTTTCCTGGTGATGACTGTTTGAATCTGGGTTCCCTGACGTTGAATTGCAGCCCAACCCATATTGTATGGTTTTTTTCTCCAAGCCCAGACTCGTAGGTTTGTAAAGACTGTCCCCAAATAGCTGAGCCAAAAGGCTCAAAGGAATTCACGTTGCACGGTGTGGCAGTTAAACACTACCTTGATCACGCTTTCCTATTTCCTTGAGGAGAGACCAGAGGGTATATATATATAGTATTTGTGAGAGTTCTCCCCTGTTGCCCGAGTGAATCAACTCCCCCCCAGCTCTGGAAGACACCCCAGAAACACTTTGTTTTCTGTTACGGTGTATTCAGAAGCCTCTTTCTGATTAAAGATCCCTTTTGTTTGGCTGAGAGACCCTGCCCTGAGGTAGGTTCCTCTTTGTCTCTGGTTTCACCAGGGATTTTCCCATGTCCCTCCAAAGCCGCAGGGCTGGGCTGGCGGAGAGAACAGACTGAAAGGTAGGTGGCAGCTTCCCCCATTGTGAGAGGGTGTTGAGTGGTCCCCAAAGGGTCCACTGGCTCACCTGCCCCTTTGGGGACTATCTGGTCTCCTTCCTGAGGTGACAAGTAGGACAGGACTCTTCAGTCAGTGCAGGAGACTTCTGGTCGGTCCAGTCAGTGTGATGGGGAGGGTCACTTTGATACGGTGTCACCTTCCCAGATACCTGCTGAGCGCCGTTTCTGCCTGCCGGCAGGATGCAGGAAGTTAGAATCCTGAGGAGGTCACGTGAGGGGGACCGGGTTGATTTAGCAGCTGCTGGCGCTTCTGGAGACCTCAGCAATGGAGGGGAGTCCGGACTGCGATGCTTGGGAGGTAAATAAGCAAAGCTATCCTTGTTGAGGAGGAAGGAGAGGGGGGTTCCGCGCCGTGCCAGCCAGTGACGGATCAAGGCTGGGTGAGCTGGGCGGAGGGGAGGGCGTGTTTTTGTCTCGAAGCCTCACCTTTGTTTCGAGTGGGACTGGTCTGGGGACTCCTCAGGGCCTGTGTCCCAGATGTCAGGGGCTCAGGGAATCCCACCAGGCCACCCCTCCGGGGCCTGCACAGCGGCGTCCAGCCCTTGGCTGTGAGCGAGGCTGTCCTCCTGGTCCAGGTGGGATCATCTGGCTGCTGAAGCAGGAACCGTGCAGATGCCTTTCAGTCCGAGACACACCTGAAAACGTGCAGGTTTCCGAGTGTTGCAAACATGAGAATAGGGCTGTGATGTTGTGAAGGGTGATAGTGACCTGGGTTTGGTGACAGAAGGGAAAGACACTCTTATGCATGAGTGTTTTTGGTGGTGATGGGGTATATTTTTATAATTTAGTCAAAAAAAAAAAAAGTATGTGGAATTCTGTCCCTTGGTAAAGCTTGAAACCAGGCCAGCAAGAGGTGCCCTGGGTTCTCCCTGCTGCCCCTTCAAGCTCCCTGATTAAAAGCTAATGCAGGGTGTTGCTGTGCTGACGCCTCACTTCCCACCCTGTGCATCTGCAGGTCCTCCCCGAGGGGGGAAGGGGCTTCTGAGATGGGGGTGGGGGGAGGCTCAGCCCAGCAGCCTCTTCCCTTCCCTTCTTAATCAGAGCTCTTGCTGGGTCTCGCCTTTAGAAAAGCTGTTTTAATTTCCCCCTCAGTTTGGACTGTGTAGATATAACTGGATATAAAGACTTTCTCTAAGTAAGGCAGGCTTCTCACGTCACTGGTGCACAGGGCAGAAAAGGAAGAGAGAAGAAATTGATGCAACAATTTAAAAACTGAGGTCTTTTTTTCTTTTTTTTTCTTTAATGTTCTGGTGCGGCTTTCCCCGTCAGCATTCGCTCCTGCCTCCTTTCTGGTGGTGGTGGCCTCCTCTGGCCGCCTTCCTCCCGCTGCCCCATCTGTGGCTATCGTGTTGGTTCTTGACGTGTGGTCTGTCCTGGGGTTGTCCCATTCGTCTCTTCTCGGGGGTGGGGGTGGGGGTTTGTGAACTGATCCCGCGATCACGCCTGTTTTCTTCATCTCTGTATCTCTCCCTCCTTCCCGGCCCACCCGGGCGGCAGAATCTGATAGGAGGTAAGAGGCCGCAGGTGCGCACTGGAAACTAACAGGACGGATTGGCAAAAGCAGGTGTCTTGGGAAACTATTCCGGGGACGTTTCCCTTATTCAGAATATTTCTGGAAGTACCTTTGGAGTCTGTGGTGCCTGCTGTGAACAGCCTTAATGATACCAAATCTGCACCCGTGCTTGCGCATTCAGTGCGGAGAGAGACCGGCGAATAGTAGCTGTGGGCAAACGAGGTCACAGGTGCAAAGCATAAGGACCAACGTGCTAGTAAAATGGCTTGGATTTAATGATCTGACTTCTAAGCCGGCTGTGAAAGCAATTGCGTAATTTCAGAATGCATTCTGAGCGACGTCCTCATTGTTGCAGTCGGCCCGCGCAGCTCGACTTCTTGGAGGACATAATGAATTTGGATGTGGAAACTCCGATTTGTTTGAAGAAATCTGTCCTGTTACTTTCTGGTCCTCCCAGGTTCTGACTTTACCAGGGGCAAATAAAAAAAAGGAGAGGGAGACAAATCCCATCTGTGAACTTGTCTTATTGGCGCCTTTTCCCCCAGCTGTCTTCCAAGTATTATTTTTACTGTCAAAAAATTTTTTTAAAAATGTGAAATGTAATGTTTTTACAGCAACAATATGAAATATATTTTATAAGGAATAAAATGGTACATTGTCTGATTTAATGTGTGCCTGTCCCTTTGCCCTCTCCCCCCCTACAAAGGATAAGATTATCATTGTCCTTGGTGTTAAACAAGTGATAGCCCTGGGGGCGAAGCACACACACTCATTTGCTTATAATAACAACGGGCAACATTATCAGGGACCCAGCCAATTGCTTACATGGCTTACCTGAATAACCCACGAAGGAGTTACTATTGTCAGTCCCATTTTTATTTTATTTTATTTAAAATTTTTTTTATTTTTAAAATATATTTTATGAATTTAATTTATTTTCTTCTTTTCATCATTCCCATTTTACAGATGAGGAGAGTGAGGCCCAGAGGTTACAAAACTTGACCAAAGTCATCATCTGGGAAATAATGGCACTAGGATTATAATCTAGGAAGTAACCATTTTCTTTTTAATCTCCAATTTTTATTTTTACAGTTTAATGATTTATCACAAAGCAAACACCAAAGTATCTACCAGTCATTGAAGAAACAGATCATTGCCAGCATTCCAGAAATTGCCTTTGTACCTCAAGCAAAGTGCCACTCCTCTCTTGTGCATAAAAGCAACCACTATTCTTTGACTTTCTATGTCAGTTACTTTCTTGCTTTAGGAAGTAACCATTTTCTCTCCTGCTTGTATTGACAGTGGGGAGATGTTCCTGGCTGTGTACCTGAGTTTGTTGGGGAGTGGGCAAGTGACTAAGGAGAAAATGAGTCACATTCTGCTTATGGAGTGAGCTCTGACCCTAGGGAGTGACAGGGGCTGCTTCCTGAATTCATGGGTTCCGTGTCTTATGATTGCCCATGTAGCTGGTGCAGGGCTGGCGTGGGTGGGAGGGGAGCTGGTGCAGAAAGCTATGTCTCGTTCTGGTAGCTCAGGGACTGCTTTACGAAATTGGAGGCATTTCTGGGACGGTGAGGCATCTCTGGGAGGGGGTTCTAGGGCCCCCTAACAGCACCCAGTGGGGAGGGTGAGGCCACTTGGAGAAGACCCAGGGGACTACATTACCGCCAAAGTCCGTCAAGCTCAGCAGCCTGTGGAGGAGGTTGTCCTTGGCCTTTTCCTCACCTTGGGGTAGGACAGAGGGCTCCTTTCTCCCCCTTCCCTTGTCCTTGCCCCACTTCTCTAAGAAAGCCCCAGTAGAATCATTGCTCTGTTGCAGTTGACCCCCTTCCCCCATCCCTCCTTTAAATCAGTTTACCGCCTTTGGG